TTGGCTTAAAAACGTTCAAGCTGCGCTCTTTTTCATCTTTAGTGCAGGAAATCACTGCTTTCCTGTTGTCTGAAAGGCTTTAAACATTTACCTTCCCTCTGCACTGATAGGATTCCTTTGTTTACTGCTGTCTTTTCCCATGGGAATGAAAGCAGATTGGGAGTTCAATGCTAAGTGCAAACTGCCCCGCATTCCCATGTACTGTAGAACAACAGGGGACACCAGATTGCTTTTGTGAGATGGCGTTTGCTGCGAACGTACCGCCACCAAGGCCTGCGTCCAACGGCAATGGAAGCAGAAGGCACAGCTCGGAAATCTCAACAAGGTTAGAAAAGAACAAAACAGTCCTCTGCGAGTGAGAAAGGCCGACATTTCGAAAATCCACACCAAAATATGAGTTTCTGTTTTGAGAGAATTTTACAGTTTTAAGGTCAAGACAGACTTGTTGTGGTACTTTAAGAAAAAATTACTGGAACCAGCTTGTGGATAATCATAATGTATTTTCTTCCTAATGTTTGTTTGGGTTTGGCTGTTGTTTGGGTGAGGCCCCCCGGTGCAGGTGAGGTCAGACTGCAGCAGCTCCACTCGTTCGCTCGAAGAAGGGGGAGAGGTTGGGGGCGGAGGGGGCTAAGGTGTTGGGTGGACACCGGTTGTACTGGCTGTTTATCATAAACACAGCCTAGCCCAGAGAGGTCCATCTGCTTTGATTTTATTTAGTGATTCCCCCCAGGGACCCTGAGCTGGAGCGAGAATAACAATACTCGAGCCCATCTGTTCCCGCAGAAACCAGCCCCGGCTAAATTACCACACACTACGAGCGGCTGGCATATGCTGTGGCATAAAGCTACAAGAGGGCATTGTGCACCAGCTGTTCTGTTGACAAATACTTATCTGGCACTTCTGAACTCAGGTTGCTGAGCTGGTTGCAAGTTTGAGTACAAACTAAACAGGGTAAAGTGCTGAAAAGGGTTCCAGTGTGAATGTGTGTGTGTGGGGGGGTGGGGTGGGGTTTAAGTGAGCCGTATGTGT